TGTCCTCCCTTTCATCACCCTCTTCTTTGCTGGCGTTCTACCACCAAACACACCCACTAATTCTTCAACACCTCGCAACCCCACCCCCCTCCATGCCCTTACGTTTCCCCTGGACTTTTACTACATGGCGTCCTAAGCCCCCTTCTACTTGCTATCCTCCCCCACCCCCTCCCACCCCATCTGCGTCTCCTCTTCCCCCCCTCCCGCCACTCCCCCCCCACCACCCCACCCTCCTCCCCCCCCTCCCCCCCACCCCCCCTTCCCCCTTCTCTTTCTAGTCTCCTCGTCCCCGGCTCCCCCCCCCCCTCTCCCCCCCTTATTACTTCGCACCGGCTTACTCACCCCCTCCGCGATCCCCCCCCCCTTTCTCCCCTTCTGCTCCCTTCTCCCTGCCTCTCTGCCCTGCTTCTCCTGTCCTGCCTGGCGATCTTCCACCCCCCCCCCCCCCGCCCCTACTCTTCTGTTCTGTTCAGTCTCTCTGGGTCCTGACCTCTGCGTCTACACCCCTTCCCCAGCGTCCCTCTCACCCCCCCCCTCCCTCGCCCCCCCCCCCCCCCCCCCCCCCCCCCCCCCCCCCCCCTTCCCCCTCCCCCCCCCCCCTCCCCCCTCCCCCCCCATCTACCCCCCTCTCCCCCTCTCCCCCTCCCCCTCCCGTCCTCCCCCCACACCACCCTCCGCCCCCCCCCCCGCCACATCCCCCCCCCCCCCCCCGCCCGCATCCCCCTCTCCCCCCCCCCCCGCCTCCCACACACCCCCAATCTCTCGCCTACCCCGCCCCCCACTCTCCGCCCCACCCCCACCCTCCCCCCCCCACCTCTCCTCCTTCTTCCCCCTTCCCTTCGTCTTCTTCCTCCCCCTGCCCCCCCCCCCCCACCTCCCCCCCTCCCTCCCCCTTCCTCCGCCCCCCTCCGCTCCCTCCCCCCCTTACTTCTCCAACCCCGGCGCCTCACACAGGCTAAAAAACAACTTAAATTATGAAGTTAATGGATTGAATATGTGCGTCTAAACAAAATAAAAAAAACAATAAAAAAAAAAAAACAAAAAAAAAAATCAAATGAAACCATAAATCTCTAAAATCCTAAAAATCTAAAACAAAAAATAATAAAATAAAAAAAAAAATCCTTCTTAAAAAAATAAAGAAAAAAAAAAAAATAATCTAAAAAAGAAAAGATCTAGGTCTAAAAAAAAAAAAAAAAAAAAAATCTAATCCAACCCTAAGAAAAACACAACAACACAACACCTCCTCCCAACTCTCCAACCCAACCCCAAACCAACAAAAAACCTAAAAATAAAAAAAAAAAAAAAGCTTATACAAAATTAAACTTAAATAAAAAATAAACTTAAGAAAAAAAAAAGAATAAAAACTAAAAAAAAACCCTCCCCCCCCGTCCCCCCCCCCACAAAAAAACATAAATTTTATGCGACAAATTCGCTTCCATTTCTTCAAACTGAATTCTCAATACAACTGTGCCGAATTGAAATTCGTTTTTTTTTTTTTTCTTTTTTTTTCTTTTTTTTTTTTTTTTTTTTTTTTTTTTCTTTGTTTTTTTTTTTTTTTTTTTTATTTTATTTTTTTTTTTTTTTTCTTTTTTTCTTTTGTCGTTTTTTATTTTTTGTTTTTTTTGTCTTTTTTCTTTTGTTTTTTTTTTTTTATTCGTTTTTTTTTTTTTTTTTTTTTTTTTTTGTTTTTTTTTTTTTTTTTTTTTTTTTTTTTTTTTTTTTTTTTTTTGTTTTTTTTTTTTTTTTTTTTTTTTTTTTTTTTTTTTTTTTTTTTTTTTTTTTTTTTTTTTTTTTTTTTTTTTTTTTTTTTTTTTTTTTTTTTTTTTTTTTTTTTTTTTTTTTTTTTTTGTTTTTTTTTTTTTTTTTTTTTTTTTTTTTTTTTTTGTTTTTTTTTTTTTTTTTTTTTTTTTTTTTTTTTTTTTTTTTTTTTTTTTTTTTTTTTTTTGTTGTTTTTTTATCTTGGTGTTTTTTTTTTTGGGTTTTTTTTTTTTTTTTTTTTTTTTGTTTTTTTATAATTTATTTATTTAGTAGTTTTTGTAGTGTGTATGTTTTTTTTTTTAGTTGTTCTTTTTTTGTTGTTTTTTTTTTTATTTTTTTTGTCCTTTTTTTTTTCTTTAAGTTTTAATTTTCTTTTTTTTTTTTTTTTTTATTTTTTTTTTGTTTTTTTCGGTCTTTTTTTTTTTCAATCTGAGATTTTTTTGAATAGTTATGTGTTGATTATTCAAAATCCCCCTCTCCCCCCGCGCTTTCTTTGACTTTTCTCCCCCCTCTTTTCCCCCCCCCCCCCCCCCCTTTTTCCCCCTCTTCTCTTCCTTCCTCCCTATCCTTCCCCCCCCCTTCCCCCTCCCTCTCCCTGCCCCCCCTCTTTCTTTTCTCCCCCCCTCCCTTTTCCCCCCTTCCTTCCCCCCCCCCCCTTTTTCCCCCCCCCCCCCCTCCCCCCCACCCCCCCCCCCCCCCTCCTCTCCTCCTGTTTTTCCCCCCCCCCCCCCCCCCCCCATTTTCCCCCCCCCCTCCTTCCCCCCCCCCCCCCCACCCTTTTCCCTCCCCCCCCCCCCCTGTTTTTCACCACCCCCCCCCTCCCTCCCCCCCCCCCCCCCCCCCCCCCACCCCCCTCCCCTCCCCCCCCCCCCCTCCCCCCGCCCCCCCCCCCCCCTTCCCTCCCCCTCCCCCCCCCCCCTCCCCCCCCTCCCCCCCCCACCCCCCTCCTGTTTCCCCCCCCCCCCATTTTTCCCCCCCCCCTCCCCCTACCCCCTCCCCCCACCCCCCCCCCCCCCCCCCCCCCCCCCCCCCCCCCCCCCCCCCCTTTCCGCCCTGTCTTTCCCCCCCCCCTTCGCCCTTCCTTCCCTTCTGCCCTTTGTTTCTGTTCTTTGCGGGAAAAGAGATCCATTTTTTTCTGGGAGCATTGCATTTGTTAAACTGGATTCTAAACTGTTAGAATTAGAGATTCCAGATTTATGTTTAACTGCATATTTATTTGAGCTCTGACATTTCGAAGTAATTTATTGCATGATTTTAAAGATATTTTAACTCATATCCTGTGTTAAAATTATTTAAGTATGTAGACTCTTTTCATTATAAAGCATTTTTAAAAATGAGAAGACGTTGATGTAATCAAATTAATATTCACTGCGGCCGAAATAAATAAATAAATAAATAAATAAAAACCTGAAAAGTTTCCGATTTTAAATTACGTCCAAAGGGGCGTCTTTTAAATATTTTGTGTGTTACCTTTTTTTTATTAAATATAATGTTCTTCTCACTTAAGCCATAAGATTCAATTTAAGAGCAATAATGCAAAATAATTTTAAAATGGCCATATCTTTAGAATTTAATATACACAGTTTTGCGCGCTGGAGATAAAAATGTTTTTTCTGTACAATCGCTTTAAAATCCTCGAGTTTGTTAATCAAAAATTCGTTAAAGTTTTACAAAAATTAAAATCGATAATAAAATAAATTCCAAATTTCAAATTTGGGCTTTCAGATGTTCATATTCGCAGGAGGATTCCGTGGGTACCGTTGTTTTATCACAATGCGAGAAACATACATGCATTTATGCAGATTCTTCATTATTTAATTTCTCTAAATCTAACACAAGGCCATAATATTTTGGTGGCAACAATTTGAAAAGTGAAACAACGCTTATGGTGAATCAACGCAAAATGCCAAAAGGAAATGAATAGTCCTTCAGGGCAAATTGTCCCTTTGGACTAAAAATAAAATTGGGACAGTTTTATATCTTCCATTCTACTGGGCCGATTGACGAAATTTAAATAGCTTTTTTTCATGTCTCGAAAGCGCGACTTAGGATATAAATTAGATTCTATTTTGACACAAAATCGGACTTTTCTGAAATAAAATACCAAACGTTTTACATATTTCGTTTCTACGACTGAAGTTATGCTTAAATATTAAATTTTGTAAACTTTGGTGCGAAATTTACGAAGAAATTCAAAGATTTATCTTGGTGCATCTTTTTCAGTTTGCGCCAAGTATAAGTCACTTGGCGAACTTCTTAAATTATGGTAACATACTTTCCTTTCCCTTTTTACATTTTACATGAGCGGAAAAAAAAGTCACTTCTTTCCTACTGTCAAATAATTTTAACAAAGCGTCTAAACCACATTTGATGTTACTATCGCTTTCAACAAATATGCCAAATTTCAAAACGCGCCAATATATAAATTAACGTTTATCTTCGAAAATTTTGAATAAAACATTTTGCAGGTATGCTTAGAAATACATCTACTTTAAGATGATGGTAAAATTTTTATAGATTATAATACAAACTGTTTTCGAAATATTCATAAAAATTATTTACATATACAAATTTTAAAAATAAATCATAAAAAATTGGCGAAATTATTTGGAATCAAAAACCTAACATTCCAATTTTTTGAATGAAACCTAAAATTTAATAATAAAAATGTGAAAGCGAGAATCGAATAGTTTAATAAAAAACATAAAAACAAGACTTAATAAATAATAATGAGTTTTTAAAATTAGAGCATTTTTTTAATACTCTTGCGATTTTTACTAACTTTTTAAAAACTAAAACAATTTGGCACAGTCGTAAACATCAATCAAATTTCGAAAAAAATTGGCAGAAATTTTTCAGTCGTAGAATCGAAATATGAAAAAAAATTGGCATATCATTTCGGAAAAAAGTCCGATTTTGTATCAAAATACCTATATTAAAACAATGCTATATATATAAATCCAATACATATCCGAAGTCGCGCTATCGAGACATGAAAAACATCGGCGCAGTAGAACGCCAGATTGTCTTCCCCACCACGCCCGCAGTGTATATACTATATATTTAATTGATGACAGGACTTTACGGAGGACTGTCAGGCGTTTTCAAGGGTATTTATGATTTTTATTACTCAATTAAAAAGTTAAGACTATATTTGTTCATGAGGCGTACGTCATTTAACTGAAATATGATTCACTCTCAACTTGGAATTTCTCATGGCGCTCATTTCAGCAAAAATAACTCAAATTGATTTGAGCATCGTCAGTCAGAATTCTCTCCTTAGAAGACAAGGAGGATATCTGGCTGTGTCTCATACCGATTTAATGTGGTTCTTATAAATTTTTGGTGAGTTTCTTTTTTCTTGTTTAAATTTAGTACATTAGAATTATACTGCTTCTATTGCTTAAATCTAATACTTCGAAGCTGGTTCGGAAATTTTTAATGAAAATAATGAGTGGTGAAAGACTATAAATGTTTGAAGATTATAAAAGTTATAAAACGATTCAAAGATATTTATATAACGTCATAGAGACACTGAATATTTTCGGAACAGAAAATGCGAGGTGTTAACTGTGCTATCATAGAGATTTGAATTACGGAAACTTCTAGCTGCTATCTGGATGTGCTAACCATTTACTCCACGAGAGCACGCATAAGGGAATGCGTTAATTCCTTATATTGTTGTAAAATATGTGTATCTCTCTTCATTTTACACACCCTATATACATACATATCGCTATCTCTATCTGTATATGCATACATATATCTTTAATTATGTGCATATATCCATCTATATACACACAGAAACTAATAATTTCGATTAAGTCTTAATGAATGTTGTAAAAGTCTGAGATAATAATATTAGCCAAGATTGCGATAAATATATTAATATTTGAAACTTTCTTACATAAAAAGGCGATATAAAATATTATGAGGTAAAGAATTACCCCCTCCCCCGTAAAAGGCTGATATTGCCAGTTCATTCTAAATTCATTTCCTCGTAACTGACGGAGGGAATTATGTGAGCTCATTTGCATGTATTAAGCGCAATTCTCAGAATGTTCCGCATAAAAACGTTACTTCTAAAATCGAATAATCTTTAAGTATTTACCGTAATCAATTGTCTGCTATACATGTACATAATGCTCTGTAGTAAATGTACTCGAAAATATTTTTAAAACGATTTTGAAAGTGACAATTCCCTCACGAATTAATTAATAAATTGCATATTAATAAACATTTTGTTAGCCCAAAGAACGTTATCCCAGAAGGGCTATTAATTTCGTTTTGGCATTTTGTGGCGTTTCACTATAAACGATGTTTCACTTTTCAGATTGTTGCCACCAAATATTATCACCATCTATTATATTTAAAGAAACTAAATAATGAAGAATCTGCATAAATATATGTATGTTTCTCACATTGGGATAAAACAACGGTACCTACACCCATTAAATTTTAAATAACGTAAGCATCCACCCGAATATGAACACCTGGAAGGCCGAATTTTGAATTTGCCTTATTATCTATTTTATATTCTGTAAAACACTAATGAATTTCTGATTAAAAAACTGAATGATTTCAAAGCGAGCAGTGGCAACACTGTTAAGGAAAAAGACTTTTATCCCTAGCTCGCGTGACCATGTATCGGAAAATCTACAGATATGCTCTTTTTAAATTATTTTGTTATATTGCTGTTGATTCGAATTTTATGATTTAATTGCGAAGAACATGACATTTAATAAATAAAGGTAGCCCACAAAAGGTTAAAAAAAGCCTCTTTGGGAGTAATATAAAAAGTGAAAGCTTTCAGATTTCTTTATTAGCTCAAAGGGGCAATCTGCACAGAAGGGATATGGTATTTTGCGTTGATTCACTATAAACGGCGAATCGCTTTTTAAATTCTTGTCACCAATTATTAGAGCCCTGTATTATATTTAAAGAAATCAAATAATGAAGAATCTGCATAAATGTATGCATGTTTCTCGCAATTGTGATAAAATAACGGTACCTAGAGCCATCAAATTTTGAATAACGTACGTCTCCACCCGAATATGGGCATCTGGAAACCAAAATTTGGAATTTGGAATTGGTTTTATTATCTATTTTCTATTTTATAAGGCATTTATTAGATTTTGATTAAGAAATTCAACGATTTCAAAGCGAGCAATGCAACACTGTACGGAAAAAAAAAAAAAAAATTATCTGCAGCGCGCGTGACTGTGTATCGGAAATTCTAAAAATATGCTCTTTTAAATATTTTGCGATATTGTTGAATTGAATTTTACGGTTTATGTGCGAAGAACATGATATTTACTAAATAAATGTAAGACACAAAACTTTAAAAAAGAACCTTTGGACGTAATGAAAAATGTCAAAACTTTCAGATTTTATACTACGCCCAAAGAGTAAAACCATCGTAGAGGATTTTCTAAAGGAAATTAGCTTATATTAATGTTCATTTAGCTTTCCTGTTCACCAGGGATCAAAACGTAGAAAACCACTCGGCCATTGGTGAGAAAATGGAACTTAAAGGATATTTTATTAATGATAAAAGTAATGGATTCCAAAGCTTTTACTTGTATTGACATGGATTAATGTTATAACAAAATTCCTAATCTGTTAGTTAATACAGAAATTAAACCATAGTAAATCATTTTAAAAAACATAAATGAATATCTTAATGCGCTTCGAAAGAAAATATTTCTGTACAGTCAGTTTTTCATAGGTTCCTGCAAAGTAACCATGAGTAAAACGGTTTAAGCTGTTTGCTAATCCAATTATCTAAGTTTATCTTTTTTTAACAAAAATTTAAATTATAACTTTGCTTTTAACACCGTATCTTTGACATGAATTTGATTCATATTCAAATTCAAATCGTTGATTAATTCAAGTTCTCAGAGAAAATTTAAATCTTAATAAATACTATACATATCCTATTAGTGAAGTGCAATTGAAATTTTTAATTACGTATTGAGGAAGCATTAAAATTTTTTTGTCCTTATTAGCTACCGTTGATTGCTTTTAGACGAATGTAGAAGGGTGTTACTCTCAATTGTGCTGTAGATATCATATTGACGTTCTGAGTGATGTTTAATCTTAGAAGTTGTTGTTGTTACTTATGCTCACTTGCCTAACCGTAACATCAGCCCAAGCCCACGAAATACCTCGTGGCAAGAGGCGCTAGTTTTCTCCTGTCGTTGGCAATATGCTTGAACACCTTACAGGTGACAGTGGGATTTTGCTCAGTTCCGCCCCCAATTTTGATGGAGAGCACCTCGGGGGGGGACGGATTCGAGAGTCTCCCACACCCTCTCCCATTATATCACAAGAGAGGACTTTCGACTCGCAGCATATTTAGTGTGCCGCCATGCGGAACCGACACTATATATTTACAAACACCCGCGTCTTCTCCGGGATTCGAACCCGTACTCTTCGACACTGTAATCCTAGTTATGTAACTTATTCTGGATCAAGTATCATGTATCCTGGCATCTGCATATATAATCTCGTATCATCCTGTAGCATGTAACATATTTTGCACTATGTATTATGTATCTTGGATAATGGTATCTGTCTATATTAGTATCTTCTGCACCTTGTATCATATATCTTGCAACATCCTTCAATACGTAACCTATGTTGTAAAATGTAACCCTGTATGTTTTAACAAATATCTCGTATCATTGTGTAATATATGTCATATTTCTCGTATCATCCTGTAATATGTATCATATATCTCGTATCATCCTTTAATATGTAACCTATTTTGAACCTTCTTTTCTTAAGTAGTCACCTTATGCATGTCCTTATATTTGTCACCTTACGTATCTACTGCACCTTATGTTCTACGTAATCATGCTTCCTGGCATCTGCCAATATTTGTATCTTCTGAATATTGTAACGTATATCCCTCATAATCCTGTATCATGCATCTTATTTCGCACTTTCTACCATGTATCCTGGCACTTATATCACTCTGCATCTCGTATTATGTATTTTGGCATTTGCATTATCTGTATCCACAGCATCTTGTATCATATATCTCGCAACATCCTGTAACATGTAACTGATTCTGCACTTATATATCTTATATTCATAAGTATGTGTACGTCACCCAATGTGTGTCACCTTAGATATGTTCTTATGAATGTCCCTTTATACATCTCATGCACCCCATGTTCCTACGTAAGATGTATTTAGGCATCTGAATATATATGTATCTTCTGCACAGTCTATCTGTAGCCACCGTATGTTCTTATGTATCATATATCTAGGCAATAGATAAAGGTGGACGTGGCGCTATACCGATTAACCGTATTGGTAGAGGGATGGTGCCCACGTTCTCTGTCGCATGTCGCATGTCGGCACGGAAATCATCGACGCTAACCACTATAGCGGTTGGGCAGCAGTCCTAGAAATAGCTACATATTACAATTTTAAGGCATTTATTTATTGACAGACTGACTTCCAAACTTCTTTACAGGTGGATAAAGTTGCCTTCAAGACATAGCTTTTAATCGCAATTGAGTTATTGGTTTGAACAGTAGCCTAGTGTCTGCATATCAAAGCAAAATGACGCTGTTAAATATATGGAGAATCATCCACTCATCGAAACAAATATATCAAATCAGGGCTAGCCGCGTAACAAAGCAGCATGAAATATCCCAGAAAAGTGGGGGTAAGTTATTATTTCTATTAGATTATTTATAACAAAAAAAACTTAAATTTTTTTAACAAATTTGTTTACTTTTATAAATGCAAACTGATTACTTGAAAATTTCTCTTATAACTCTCCTAGAGTGTTTCGCGATTTAATTTGATTTTAATCTGAAATATTAGTTTGAGTAAAATAACCCCCTCATTGTGTTTCGGCCCAAAAAGGACGCCAGCCCCGAGGGGGGTATTACTCTCGAAACGACATTTTGCGTTGAATCAGTATGAATTGCGTATCACTTTTCAGTTGCTGCCACCAAATATTATCACTCTATATTATAGTCAAAAAACATTAAATAATGAAGAATCTGCCATAAATGTATCTATGTTTCTCGCACTGTGAAAAAACAACGGCAGCTAGAGCCATCAAATTTTGAATATCGTAGTCCTCCAACCGAACATGACAGTCTGGAAGGCCGAATTTCGAACTTGTTTTATTATGTATTTCGTATTTTGCAAAACTTTAAGAAATTTTTGATTAACAAACTAACAATTTCAAAGCGAGCAGTGGCAGCACTGCACAGAATAAATCATTTTTATTTTCAACTCTTGAGGCTGTCTGCCGGAAATTCTAAAGATATGCTGTTTTTAAATATCTGGCGAAAAGAAATCCAATTATCTACAGCCGTTGAATCGAATAATATGGGGCGTAAGCGTCAAGAATTCGTTATTTAATGAATAAGTAAATACACAAAACGTCAATAATAAACACAAAAAAAGTTTTGTAAAGACATTTTTATAAGAAAACTGAAGATTGTTATAATGAGCTGAGAAAAGACTGAAAAAATTCAGAAAAATGTATGCTAACATTAACGCTGCATCGGGAGTTTTAACGTTTACTATTGTGCTACTTTAAAAATTTTTGTAATTTTGCTGTTGAGTTGTAGGCAACGTATGTGGGAAGAAAATTATACTTAATAATAAAGCTAAAAACACAACAAATATGGGTTAGTAGGAGTGTGGGTAATAGCAGACTGGCTGGTAGACTGAAAGCTCTGAGAAAGCGTAAAAAAACTTTAACAAACTCTTTTGGGCGATCGTTAAAACCTGAAAAATCTTTTAGATTTTTTTTTATTCTTAATATTATTGATTATGTATAGAATAAAACTTTCTCCCGAACTTAAAAAAAAGTTTTTAAAATTATAGATCAAATATTTAAGAAATCTCAATGACCTTTATTTATCAGATAATATATTTTAAACTATAATAAAATAATTATCGCTTTTTGTGTTTAATTTTCAACAGGTTCCAAATCACCGTGTCTGCAGTGCCGCTACTTGGTGGCCATATTGGGTTTCTTCGTATATTGTCTCCTAAATATTCTCAGAGTAAACATGAGTATTGGTATTGTGGCTATGGTGAACGTTTCAGGAATTCTCGGAATAGAAGATTTAAACCCTGAGAACCTGACCCTCTGTCCGCTGGATTCCAATTCTTCTAAAGATTTAATAACTACTGAAGTAGGAACAAACATTTTCAAATGTAATTCTATTAAACTTTCCAAAAAATTAATGAAAAATTTGATTTCATTTTAAGAATTTTTTCTATTATGTTTATGTGTCAATCATTCTGAATAAGCAGAATTTTCTAGCAAATTTTGTTGTTTTTTATTGGTCTTAAAGGTATTTAATTTATAATATTATAACGTGTTTCAAACAAAAGTTTCGTTGCTTATTGGTAGCTTATGAATGTTCATTTTGTTCTAGGTTTCATTTCTATGACGTAAATCGCACAATATTTGGTAAAAAATTATGTAGACATTATTTTTACGGCGCAAAAAATATAACTGATAAATGTATACCAGTACGCATTTAGAGACAGAAATTGTCATGAGTAGAACTAAACGTAGTACACTACAACTCCAATTATCCGAACTCCGACTATTCCAATCGCTGATTATTCGATTCGCTTTCAGAATTTGAAAAAAAAATTAAGACAGAAACGTAGTGTTAAACAATCAACTTAAAAGGAGCAAACCTACCGTTTTAAACTTCGCGTCACTGCTTGAAAACGAAGATGGAAGTTCTTCAAGAAAATCAATGAAGGCAGCAACAAACAAAAATTTAGATGTCGTTTTCACGTGTTTCTTGCAGCAACGTTCTATGGGAAACCCAATTTCGGGTTCGATTATTTGTGAAAAAGCTAAGATCTTAGCTCAGGAGCTTCGTTGTTCATCGTTTAAAGCAAGTAACGAGTGGCTAAGAAATTTTAATTTAACCGAGATATTCAGCAAGCAATGACTTTCAGCACTTGTAAGTACTATACAGTACGCTATATAACATGTACGTAAAAATTCTGTCTTTTCCTTTTAACTAATTAAAACCTCTTTTTCTTTAAAAACACTTTTCGTCTCTCATTTTCAATATACAGTACATACAGTAATTAATTAAAGTGTACGTAGACCCTTTCTTCGGGAAAAATCCTATTATCTGAATCTTTGATAATCCGAATGGTGTCCGATCCCAATTGATTCAGATAAGTGGAGTTCTACTGTACAAGACAGATAATTTCTCGCGTTTTGAAGGTTTCTTTTGGTTTTGCTAAAAAATATCCAAATACCACATTTACAGTCTTCTATTATGGAAGTCTTTATTAACAAAAAGGGCTGCAATGGCTTAAACAGGAAGCAATTTGGCAAGGCAATATTTGGGCGTTTAAGGAGTAAAAAATTTCCCATTATTAATCTTTTATTGAATCATCCTTGTTGTTGCTGTCTGATGCTCACTTGTCTGACCTACAGTCTGCCCAAGCCCATGAAATTCCTCGTAGCAAGAAGCGCAAGATTACGCTTTTCATTGGCTACAGCCTTGAGCACCATACAGGTGGCAATGCAGCTTGGCTCAGCTCTACCCCCAATTCTTATGGAGAGCACCCCAGGGAGGGAGACAGGTATAAGGGTATCTCACTCCTCTTCCTCTATCACCAACCTCCCGAGAAGCCTCCGGCATTCTAAGGTGGGCCTTTCGGTACGGCAGTCAGCGTTGCAAACCACTATACCGGTTGGCGGCCTATACTTCCAATATTTAGGATTATCTTGCTGAGGAACTATGTTGTCTGTTGACTAATGTAGGTTATATGGTGGATACAGCCCGTTTCAAATTATTTAAATTATTATGTTGACAACAGATGTTTGAATTAATGGTCTGATTTTATCCTTCTAATATGATGATATTTAGGATTATCTTGCTGAAGAACTATGTTGTACGTTGACTTATGTAGGTCATATGGTGGATAAAGCCCGTTTCAAATTATTTAACTTATTTAAATTATTATGCTGACAACAGATGTTTTTTCTAGCAATTCAAAATAAATGTATCTTCCATTTCCCCTTATGCAGATAATGTTAGGTTAACTGATTAAAGTAAAGCACATGAGAGCTACCGTATCAGGTTCTGTGTTCCTCCTTACTTGCTTTGGGAACATTAACTGTCCTGACTCGGAACAGGGAGCTTACTAAAGCTATGTTCAATAAATTTGGGAAGTAGACAATACACACAGGAAGGGTATACGAAACCCTTTATTTTTCTCTCTTTACAATGATTTCCGGAACTTCGGAATACAGAGACCAACCACTTGTGGTCTGAACGTAAGAATATAAAAAATATTAACTAAAAATCTAACTAAACTAACTTTGGATTAATAAACAAGTGCCTACTCCAAGATTGGCCGTATATTAACAAAAAGCCGTATGTAGTACAGAGAACTGCTAACACTACGGTACCTTTAAAATTATCAAGAGGATTAAACCTCTGGCCTTGAAGGCAACCAGCAACCGAGTAAAACTACCATGGCAAGCGGCCTGCTTCTAATAGCTCCTTCCTCTTCTTGCTTGGCAAAAAGCCACAACGTAAGTACTTGGCGTTAGCAAGATAAATTTCCATAAATAAGTTAAAACTTTTAATTCTGGCCGGAAGTAGAAAATAAGAAGTGATATTAAAGATTTAAAATAAAATAAACGTTAGTAAAACTTAGGATCCTTACAACCGGACTAAAGGAAGGGGTGCTTTCGAAAAAGATTTTCTAAAGAAACCTGGCTGGTATTTCTCGTCACATTTATATCTTAACCTGTCACTTCCTGAGAGGCAATGGCTTCATGAGGGGTTTTCTAAAGAAACCTATCTTGTGTTTCTTGTTATGTTTCTATTTTAACTTGTCATTTCTTGAGATGCAATGATTAATGGCTTTTTTATACCTTAGCTCCTTTTGCTAGTCTGTCAGAGTGCTGTTATGTACGTGTGAATGCATGTACTGAATGTTGACTGTGTTCCAACGCTAGCTTTGAGCTCATTTGGAATGGAATGATTGGTTAATTACATGCTCTTGCTTTTCTATTCTCCAAATAAACACAATATTTTTACTGTGCATGAATTAATGCTATAATATTCATATTGCAAATGAAAACTTCGAAAACGTCTATTCGGCCATCCCATTCGCTGGGATTGAATAAGAAACGAACTACAATAGTTCAGCAGTTTTAATCATTCAGCCACAGATATGTGCCCCCCAAAATATGCAAAGCAAAATATGCGGCTTCTTTTTTCGTCTCAACTCTTCTTTTCGAAGTAATTTAACGCAGAGAATCCTTTTCTTATCTCCTGGCATAGTATGCCTTAAGAAAGGTTCTGTTTCATTTCTTGAGAACAAAGAAGTGCAAATCAATATTTATTGCTGACAATTTTCAGCAGTGAATTTATGTGAAACACAAACATTAGCCCGTTTTGTCTTAAACGATCTTTTGACAATACGCCTTGACTGTGATCTGTTGCTGTTGCCTCTGTATCTTTGGTATCTGTTACACGTTTAATGATAGTCGAAATAGTTGTTACGTTTTTAATTTGATGTTTACTTTTATATGAATTTTAGAAAACGAAACATAAATAATAGCAATTAATCTGTTACTGAAAATTCATAAATAAAAACAAATAAAATGATAAGTATAATTCATTTTTACTAATATATAGTACGATTTTTTTTATTTCGTGCATTTATCTTTCTAGTTCAATGGTAAATTCGAATGGAATTCAAAAATGCAGGGATACATATTGAGCTCCAGCTTCTTCGGCTATTTTATGACTCAGGCTGCAGGTGGAAAATTAGCTGAAGCCTACGGGTCCAAGCGTATCATAATAGTTGGAACACTCATTTCTTCTTTGTGCAATATACTTTCTCCTCCTGCTGCTTGGTGTCATGTGTACCTTTTAATCTTTGTGCAGTTTGTCAGAGGAATGGGACAGGTATATTTAGAAGTTTCAAAATAACTGTTATTTTCTTGTAAGTTAAAATTTTTATTTCAAATAATTTCTGATGAAAAAAGAGTAAAGAGGAAGTAACACGATACTTTTTTTTTTTGGATGAAAAATTGCAATACATTATCTTTCAAAATACTGAAGATTTCAAAAATATGCCTGGTTTTATATTTTTACGATTTCAAAAAATATGCCTGTTTTTATATTTTTACGATTTCAAAAAATATGCCTGTTTTTATATTTTTACTTTCATATTTTATCCAAAATTTTTATTTTATTTATTATTTTCAATAAGTAGATTAAATAAGTATTTTCAATAAGTAGTGTAAATAAATATGGATGCCACAAAACTGTTTTAAAATAAATTCCAACAGAAAGGAATTTAGTCTTTAATTTTCTTCTTGTTTCAGGGACTTCTTCAATCAGCCACATGCATTTTAATGGCAAGCTGGTTTCCTAGGACAGAAAGAGGATTTCTGAGCACATTCATTCTATCCGGACTTTGCCTGGGGGCTGTTGTTGGAGGCTTGCTGACAGGTGTATTATGCAATTCCACTTTTCTTGGCGGTTGGCCTTCTGCATTTTACGTCTTTGGTAAGACCAACATTTGAGAACAAATTCTGCAGTATGCTTTCTACCTTGCTGTTTACAACATTACACATATGCATCTTAGAGTCAACAAAAAATATAAGATTTAATTCAGACTAACGAAAAGTTTACGCAAATTTGGTAAAATCTTTAAAAAACTATTAGACATTTTGCCTATTGTGCATGACTGCAGTCATCCACGTTTCAAAACTGTTTGCAAAAGACATCAAGCGTTTAAATCAAATCATATTTACGCTAAAATTTTTATTCCTTCAGTGGTTATATAACACCGTAGAAAAATGTGCCGAAAAGACTGTATCAAGAATATATCAAAATTCCATTCATATGAGAACTTAATGGGACTTCTTTCCGTCTAGGATATCATATTTCTATGGAGAATTCAGGACGAAAAAACAGTTGATCATACTCAAAGCTGTTCAAAGCTGCCTTTGAGCAGTTACTTGACAGCATGAGTCTTACGAGTAGGTCATTCATGATGTTATAACAAATAATTATCTGAGTTTTATTATCTTCCCTACAAGTACAGATATCTTCCACGTTTTTTGTTGAAACTAATAACTAAAACTTCTATGACTTATTCAAATTTTTTTACAGGTGGACTAGGCATTCTTCTGACTCTTATTCTTATTATTTTCCTATATGAAACACCAGCCACTGATCCAAGAATTTCGAATGAAGAACTGAAGCATATTTCTGGAAATCAAGAACAAGAAATTCCTTATAAGGTGAGTACTAATTTGAGTTTTAAGAACAGAACAGTTTCTCTGAAGTCTCTACTTCACACTAAGAGAAAAATTATTTTAGCAAGCTTTTTTTATCAGTGTTCTGTCTAGCTTTCACTAATGAATTTATTGATATTTTAATTGACTAATTTTGACGTTTCATTTCCAGCGACCTCCGACGCCCTGGTTAAAGTTACTAACTTCAGTCCCAGTATATGCTTTAGTTTTTGGCATGTTCGGACAAGTTTGGTCTGGAGTCCATTTTCTTTCTATTCATCCAACATATCTTGGAAAGATTTTGCACCTTCCTATTGCAGAGGTAAATTGCTCGATAAATCCCTTTTGTATTCCTGTTTAAGTATACGGAACAGAAATATTTTAAATACTGACCTGACGATCCTTAGCAATGATTACAAAATGCCCTATATTAGTAATATTGAGAGCAACCTACGGGCAGAAAATGAAACAAGTAAAAATGTAAATTTCTTCAGAGAATAAGACTCATTTTCTTGATATCTACATGTATTTAAATGAGGTTTCAGAGCGCCATTGCTATCCGAACATTATTTTTGCGTCCCTGGAGTGAAGTGTTCCTGACGCCCATTATTATGACATAGCACTAGGAAAGTAAGTTATTTAAACTAATTTTTTAACGCTTTTTAACTCCATTCAAATTATTTACGGCGATCCCTTAATCACCCACTGTAGCTCGCGAGATAAGAGTTCTGGAGTGCAAATTTTCATCCAGCAGTATTGCCTGGAATGCGCCCAGACGGGATAGTGGTCAGTGTCGCTAATTGCCGTAGCGAAGGTCTCGGGTTTGAATCTCGGTTTGAATATTATCAGTGCGGCAAGGGAACACTCAAAATACATGGCCAGATGACATCCTCTTGAGAGGTTGTTGGTAGAGACCCTCGGGCAGACACCCTCTCGGAGCACCCTATTCTACCTCGAAATTCTTCCTGGAGCGAAAGCTTAGCACTTAACAAAGTCCAACGTACCTAATATGTTACATGAATGTATAGAGGCTGCTCTTGCCTTGACCAAAACATTTGTGAGATTCAAGAAATACCTTCAGAATAATGAAAACCGCCGAAAAGCAACCTTTTTCTTCATTACATTTTCCCAAGTAGTCACAAGTCCTCTCGACAAATGGAGTTGTTTGGAACTACACGAATTTCCTAGAAGAACAGGAGAAGGGATCTCAGCTCTTTTCTCCCATTTTCATAGAAGTGTTTTGGGGAGTCAGTATTTTATTTCATAAAGGCAGGAAAAGATCACTGAGATAATGCAAATGCTAAACTGGAAAATATATTCTGTTCAGCAGTAATTGTAACATTAATAAAACTACTACCTGAACTTGTTAAGTTGGAATTTTCAGAACTCAGTAAACAGGAATAAAATTTTTATAAAATTTTTATAGATTAACAGTAGTTTTAGAGTTATTCATCGCTTAAAACACGAATCTAATAATTATTATATTTTCACAGAATGGATTCTTTGCAACTGCGCCGTTTGTATTGCAAGCTATTTTTAGTTTATTAGGAAGTTCGTTTTCTGACTGGTTGAACCGGAAGGAATATGTAGGAGTTGATAAAGTCAGGAAAAGTTGTAATTTAATAGGTAAGTCCCAACTAGCAAGTTCGATAATATACATAAATTAAAAATATTAATTATTTATGACTGATTTTTCATTTTTTATTCATGGTTGAGAAAGAAATACTTCAGAGCTTTGTTTTGTTACAAATTATAAGAAGAAGTTTTCTAAATAAAAAGCGATTAAGAATTACCTAAGATTTTCAAATGGTCTTAGACAGAGAAGAAATCTTACTTAGAATTTCCTAAGACTTACAAACGATCTTGCCTTCAAGAAATTTTATTATTACTGCACTAGCTATTGAACGGCAAGAGGAGTAACTAGATTTCTACGAAGCTGTCAACGATTTTGTCAATAGAAAACAATCAGAATAGCATTTTAGAATGCTAAATCCTGGCTTAAAGAATAAGCACAGTGTTCAAATGTTTTCCTACGTATTGTTTTAGATAATTATATTGCTATAATAAATTAGGCATTTATTGGTTTAGACTGAAAGAGGCGGTAAATTCAGAACCGCTCCAGGCGGCAAAAGCTTTGGCTATATCTCTGCACTAGAGCGATGGTATCAATAGCATTCAAGAATCAGAATCAGTTAACTTCGGTTTACAGTGATATTTTAGATTTCATTATCTCGCTAAAATTTCTTATTATTCTACTGCTATTATTGAATTTCAAGATCTCATTTAAAGAAGAAGAGTTGCAAAAGAACGTGGCAGAGGGAGAACTAGAGAAAATGCTGAGCGCAAATAATGATGAACTTATTTGAGTGAGAAATCCAGCAAGTGTGGGCATATTTCAGCAAGATGAGAAGCAAAAAATCATGAAAAATGTTCAATATATGCAATGCGGTATGATGAAACCTAAAATTTAAATAAGCGAGAAAAGGAAATCGAATATATGAATCTATACAAGACGATACAAATTAATCGACTTGCTGACAGAATGGATTTAAATGGATTCCTTTGCAAGGGCCAGATTTCTCCAAAGAGAAGAAATGGATATTTTGAAGCGGATGTAGTAACAACAAAAGAAATATCTGTTGTGAAATTTTGAAGGTAAGGCGCAGTTCCGACTGAAACATTATCAACGTAAGGAGCTCGAGAATAATGTAAAAGCTGGAACCAATTATATTGAACTAAATGAAGAAAGAAAGAATTTGGAGCAAGAATGACTTTTAAATGTAGTTTTAGGTATAAAATATGAAAATAGATTATCTAGAATGGAAGACGGCATCATTAAAACAGATTTGGAAAAATCAAAATATCTGTCTTAGCTTCAAATGATGATTCGTAACGTATTTTCCTTGTAAAAGGTTATTTAATGAATATGTTGAAAGAAAATTAACTGAATGAATAAAATACTGAAATGGAATTTTTGGCAAGTAGCTCCATTAAATAACTAGAAATGAAATTAGTTACGAATGTTCAGCCTTCCTGTGTTGTTATCAAATGATGGAAAACGAAAAAAAATTGAGGAGTTAAAACGCCTTTGAAATCCAGATAACATTTATAGCTAATAAATTAAGGAGCTTGTAAAATCCACTATAGAAAGAAATTATCATATTGGTATAATGCTAAAATTTGTTGGGTAATAAAACATTAATATTTTAATATATAATAATTTAATAATTTTTTCAAAGAACTGTTAACTTATTATTTGAATAAATTTCAAACATAACTACTAAGTAATACTTAATGATGTGATTAAAAAATCCGATTAATTTTAAAATTTTAACCTGTGTATGCTATTATACCTATCGCAGTCTTAATGATAACCTAAAACATTTGGAAGCCAATATATATATTACGGATCATCACCTTTCCCTGGTCTTTACGTCAGACACTTTAACTAAGGTATACCAGGTGTGACACAAAAAGAAGGAGACTAGTCCAGTAAATCAATTGTAGTTACAGAATCAGTTCTCCTTGACATCATCACCTTCAAAGAAGTCCCCTTCAGTATTCACACACTTCTGCATTCGGTGCTGCTATTACTGGTAACAGTTCTGGAACGAGGTTTTTGGAACGCCCTTCAGCAGATTCTTCGTTTTTGCCTGAACCTCTTCAGCTGAGTTAAATGGCTTCCCTTTAAGCAAGATTTAACTTTGAGAAATAAAAAAAAAGACGCATGGAACCAAATCAAATGAATAAGGAGGATGCCCTATCTCAGTAATGTTTCTGCTTATCAGAAACTGCTTAACAGGTAGAGCCGTGTGAGCGGGTGCATTGTCCTGGTGCAACAGCCATCCATCACTCCGCAACTGTGGCCTTTTTTTCCTAATTTTTCACGAAGTCTTTTTAGTACCTCAGAGTAGTACTGCTGATTCACAGTCTGGCCACTAGGAACCCACTTAATCATTACAATTCCATTAATGACGAAGATGACAATTAACATTGCCTTGAATTTTGATTTTGACATGCATGCTTTGTGCCTTCCCCCTGAAAACCACTTGTGCCATTCAAACAGACGTGCACGAGACAACGTTATCCTTAAGCCTTAGTTCTCCATAAGCCTTAACTAACATTTAAAATGTTTCCGTAGCTGATTTATTAAGTTTCACAAGAAACATAAACTTAATGTTGATTCGCTATTCGGTTTTTACATTAGACATTTTTTCAGACAGAATGCAGTTGCACATGTTCACTCAATGACGCAGTACTCCCAACTGGTGTGATCGGTTAAGTCAAAATTGGCCGCATGGATAGAGGAGATGTGTGGGATGACGTCACCAAAGCAGTTGTTGCCAACTCCACTCCTTTTTCAAGCTACATACTTAGTCTCGTGTTTTTATGTCACACCTTGTATAAGATGTTAAATATAAATCCTCACGTAATTGAGCTGGCTGACTGAGGATGGTCCTCACCCACAGATTCTTATTAGATAGTGAGGGATGCAAATTAAAATTCGTTTCTTTTTATCTGTCCGTAGAAAAATGATCAGCATACTACATATATTAAAATCTCGAGTTCTGTGGCGACTGCATAATTTTTCAATTATGTTTCTTTCCAAAAATCTTTAAATTTTCTGTGCTACTACAACTTTCTCTATCATAAATTGCTTGATGGTTTCATTTCAAGTTGAGATAAACTGGAAAACCATCACAATTTCGTGCAGCAATTATAATAAAATTGGTTAAACAATTTTGTCTTAAACCTTTTAGGCGCATTGTAGAGAAGTATAGACATCATGGTATAACATATATAAAACATGTATTTTATAAAACGTTTTATAATTATGAAAGGACAATGTCATTTGAAGCTGAAAAATTTTAATCTTTGATTGCGTCTCGTAGCTTGTCTTGGTTATTCTGTTTGCGTCTGGGGAATCTACTTTACTGGGTGTAGAAGAACAGTGAACATTGCTTTTTCAGTCTTGGCAATGTCCTTCATTGGATTTGGTTTAGCTGGATCCATGATCGTTCCTGTAGACATGTCACCTACGTTTGCTGGTGAGTTACTTTTAAATTTTTACTAAAAATATTCCAATGTATTTCTTCAAACGAAAGTGTGGCCATACTTGTTTACAATGTTTTCAGCATGTATATATCTTTCAGAGAGTTTTTTTTTATCAATAATACGTTTCTGAACTGGTTACTTTTATTCATGTGAGAAACGTGTTAGGTATTGAAATTTATTCGTATGATATATAAATCAAAAATTTTCAATACTCATTCTGATAGAAAATGAAATTACTCTCTAAATTTTCTAAAGAATTAATATTACATGTTTGAAATGCCTATGTATGCCTTCTATGACAGTAAAAAGGTAATATTGTTTCAGAGAAATGAATCAATTTTAGAAATTCTTTCCTAAATCATTATTTTCTAATTAAATCATGCTAATTAAAGCGGTTTAAATATCCATATCTAAATGAGTTTGCGTTTAATTCCCAGTTCTAGAGACATTAGGTATTTTTTTGGAGGGAGGCAACATGAAAAATATGCAACGCCTTCGCCGGAAATTGAACCGCGGACCTCTCAATTACGCGCTAAGCCTGCATTAAGAGAACAGTTACAATCATCTGTTTCCCCTTAACTTTTACCGAGATACAAGCAACGAAATGAAAGTATCATTGTTCCTGATCTGAAGTGCGCTAGAATTTTGAATGCTGATATAATTCGCATTACCAAGCAAATTTAGTCTCAAAACTGAACTGCTTAAAATTACAGGTTAATTCTTAGCAGTGGCCCACCAGCGGCCGAGCGGAAAAGTCGTTGAACACTGGCAGTTCGGTCCGAGGTCGAATCCCTCGAACGGGCTGGCTGCATGGGTGTTTTCGTTGTTTTCCCCATGTGTAACGTGTATACGAGCCAGTTTCCCTTAGAAAGTCCTCCACGAAGGTATCCCTCTCTTTAGGCAGATAGCCCTAGTGTGCTTTGCCATAATTAAATACACCAACACCAATTCTTAACAGTATTTTATGTTAATTATACTGTAGGTTATCCCTCTTTCCTGTATTTATTTTAAGTGCAGTCGGATTAACCGTGATTTTGAGTTAACTTGGGACGTCGACCCTCGTATTACCCTGTTAATCAGGAATCTAGTGTAGTTTTGATTGCAAGGGAGTAGAATAGAATTATTTTTTAAATATGCAAACAAAGATAAACCCTTTATTCAAATTGAAATTATGAGCCTTACGAGGTATTTGAGTCAGCATTTTCGATAAGACTTTTTAGTGCCTCCTTCAGTGTTTGTGAAAGCATGCTAAGATTTTTCATGGGGATTATTTTAGGAAAAAACAGTATGCGTTACTGAAACAGAATTAAAGAAAAAATTATAATTCTTCTTATGTAATGTAATACTTTTATTTCATTCTTTAGGAATTAGTGATAGAAATGCAGGCTTAAGTTGTGTTCTTAGATATGCTGAGCATTGAACACTTATCATCAGATTTTTCATATCTTCAGTTTTAGGAAGATTAGTTTCGTTTCTTTTCTAGGTACTTTGATGGGAATAGGCGGCACCATCTCTAACACAGCGGGTTTCATTTTACCGGTACTGACGGGTTTCTTGACAAAAAATGGGGTAAGTTGCTAGAAATCTGCATATTTGTTTACAGAATGTAAAGATAGTTAGATAGTCGAGCCACGGAATGTTCAATGCTAACTAGTTGGTCTAAGTCTCACACATTACAAGAGAATCCTCTAACTCCTGCACGAGAGGAATCCTGTAACTTCTGCAAGCACAGCCAACTTAAAATTTCTCATACAGAAACTCTTTTGATTTTAATTGTATTGAATACTCTGTGGATTGTATAGTACTGAATACTGCGCTGTACTGCATGGTTTTATCTACATCCTAATGTACAGGTGTAACCCGCACTGTTATATCTATACATTAGGATATAAAATACACAGGATGAATGGATAGATGATATCAAGAAACAAACAAGTTCGCAGGAAGGATTTCGTCCTGAAAGTGTTCTAATATTGGCAGTATTTAAAGAGATATTTCATTCTCAAGCATACAATTATTCTTTAAGAGTAGGGTCAGTAGTAATATTTTTAGTGATGTAAAATAATATAGTACAACTGCGATAATAAAGTGATTGGTAATCGTCACAAAGGAATTTTGAGTATAGATCGAAATTAAGTATGGGTAAGTTTATTTTCTTGAGTACTTCATGGTTATAAAATGTTGGATCGTATTACATGGAAAATATCTTTAATATTCAGTGAGCAACAAATGTAAGTTCTGCGTAACAGTATTCATATATGTACAATGGATTTGGAAAGTGCATAAGTATTGGAATACGATAGTCCATCATAATAATGTACTAATATTATAATTGTATCATATGTATGTACTTGTACTGGTGCACCAGTACTTTGGTACTGCACAATATTTTTAAGTGCTTATATTATGAATTGTACTATATATTGCAGAGTATTATTTTCTTTTGATGTGTGTAATAGTCTATTGCCATGCATCTATTTTTAAGCGAGTGCAAGAGTATGCTTGTAACAATGTAATATTTCGAGTACCCACAATAAGACAGCTCTGTTTTTAAACCAAAACCAAAATGAATAGCACGTGTACTGTCCTCTTCAGCATAATAATAGTACAATCAAAACAGACTGCTTTAATTGCACGGGTGACTTCACTCTTTACAGTATACCTTTGTTACCCTTTGTTATAAAGGCAGCTACCTACATCCGGAATTGAGAACAAAACTAGAATAATTAGCAGGGTTTAAACAGGCTGATAAACACGACATAGAAGTGGACCAGCTGCTCTTTCGGCAGAGTAAAGTAAAGACACTAATGGGGAATCTGTCCAAAATTATAATATGCGGCATCGAAAAGCGTGATTTTGGGAAACTAGATTTTGGGAAAGCGTCCTATCTGAAGGGGACGCACCATAGGCCGAGTGCTTAAGACAGCTGAATGCTAAGAGTTCGACCCGATTTCGATACCAAGCGAACGGGATAGCTGCATGACTGACTTTCGTGGTTTTTCCGATGTGAGTACGAAAGGATGGAAGAAATGACGGAAAGTGAATACGAACGAGTTTTCCCTTATAAAGTCTTCCACAAAGCACCCCTACCTTTATGCAAATAGCCCTTGTGAGCTTTGCCATATTCAGACAATCTAATCTATTTGAAAGGTTTCTATGCATGCCATAAGACACACATTTTTTTGTTATGTTGAAACTTCAGAAATTTGGAGTGAGAAACGGGAGAACTGTGTCCTTGCTGGAATTTGAACCGCAGATTTTCCATTTTCTGACTGGACGTGCTAGCATATACACAAGACCTGCTAGCATAACACGAGAGCACAAACGAAGGAATATAATTACTTATATTCTCCTTCACTTAAAGATGACTGGTAGATCACGATATCCAGTCTACAAGGGACGATACCCAGTCTACCAAATTTAGATGGCGATGAATTATCGTTCACAATTTGCATAAAGATCTGCACAAGACACAGCAACTATAAACAATGATATACTATGCTTACCATGGCCAAGAAACAGCTTCTTATTAGCAGGAATGGAGTGTCATAAAAGGGAAGGATAACTTTTAAAATATTTCCAAGTTGTGATATCAATTGACTAATAGTTAATCCTCAAATAAACTGGCTAATCCTAAATCAAAACTAAACAATGTCAATTATATTTCTTATAATGTTTTAAGCGTCGATATTTAAGATGGTTTACATTGATTTAATAACTAAGTTATGTTTATTATGTTATGTATTTTGTAGAGATATTAGGTACTTTTTGAAAGCAGGCAAGATGAAAAATGAGCAAACGCCTTCGCCGGGAATCGAACCACGGACCTCTGGATACCGGTCCAGCGTGCAGAACCACTACACCACGAAGGCACGCTAGGAAAGAGGGAGAAATACCTTATAATTTAATGATCACTGGATAAATCAGAAATTAATTTCAAAATATTTTTGAAGTAAGATATACCTAAAAAGTATTTAAACCTGTCAATATGCATTATACGATGTTCTTAAAATGTCACTAAATGTATTTTTATCAATGCTGTCACAAATATTATTTTTTCATTAACAGCAAACTACTGAACAATGGAACAAAGTCTTTCTCATCTCAGTCATAGTGGTGCTAAGTTCTGGAATCTTCTTCTTCTTCTTTGGTTCTGCAGAAATCCAACCTTGGAATTTTTCTTCTGAAGAACTCTCAAAATGTAATACCGTAACTTGTAAAAAGGAAACGAATTTGGAGAGAAAAGAAAACGATTTCAATTCTGATATTATTAACCATATTTAATTAGTTTACGATGAAAAATTAAGCGTCATTTGATGGTAAAACAGACTCTAAAGATTAGAATTAACTAAATTAAATCTCAAAATTTAAGAGAAAACACCTAAGGCAAATACACTGGTATCCAAAATTAAGGTAATAAATGTAAACTGCGTAATATCTAAAAGGTTAGAGATGCATTTGAATAAAATCTGGCTAAATGGTTTCAAATCATACCATGAAATACGAATACAGTAATATGCAAGTTTAAACTCCTGATATACTAATTTCAGCAATACAGCTTTCACACCCTCATGCCATTAACGAGATTGCTGAAAAGTTTGAAAAGCAATAATATCCATTCCTCTACAACAGTGGATTTTAGCTCATGGTAGGGCCTGAAAAATGGTATTATGCATAGTGATCCTCTTTAGAGCATCTTGCATATGTTGCATAGGGTTGAATGTACATATTCATCGAAGGACGGTGAATATTTTCTCAAGGAATTTCATCTCTATAGCAATGCAAATTTATACACCTTCCTGCAAAGACATACAACGCCGTTCGGCAATTCAGCACTATATTAGCCCCTAACTAAGATGACTTCTTTATGACTGTGCTTTCCTTTAGATTAAAAGGGTAACAATGAGACCAAATGCCATGTCAAGAACCAGCTTCCACATTTCATCTGAACTAGTGAGAAAACAGAAGGCGACCTACCATAAGTCGATTGTTTTCATGTTCGGAAGTGGTGCTCATGAAACCAGTAGTGCTCAAGAAATAATGGAATTTTTCTGAGGTAGTGATGAGAACAATACACATTGTTATCGGTGGCCTTTCCCAACCAAAATTTTCTGTTTATCTCGATGTCATTATCTCAGAGGTAACTTAGACCTCAAAAAACAGCTTTCTTCTACCATCTACTTATAACATGGTGCACTTAATGCTAACTGACTGTTGTGATGAAATATCATTGTTCTAATGTGATTTTGGTCTAATATTCTGGCGATACTGCTTTGAAGACCTCGTAGTTATTCTGGGATTCCTGCCTTTAGAACTAGTCAGTATCATGTATTTTTAGGTCATTTATTATATAAGATGGGAATTCACCATCTCATTGCTTTGTGAGAGCAAATTTTTAGAGAATTATAATTAACCTGACCATTCTTAATATATCACTCATATAAAATCAGACTTCCCGAAACATAATTTTTTAACTTGCTTCATAAACTTGTTTCCATTCTTTCCCCACCATATGGAAAAGGGAATTACACTCGTCATCCAATTAATCTTTCATTTTCCCGTCTTTCTTAGTGCAAATTTTGAGTAACTTTTACCTTAAATTTGGATACTATCGAAATTAGGAACAATCAAAGTTGAATTAAAGTTCATGAATACAATAAGGTATTTAAATTCGAATTTTTAATCACTGAGGCGAATTTTAGCATTCAGGTTTCAGGACAATAAATGCTACACAGTATTTTGTGTTGTGGAAAAGGGACTTAGTGACACTACTACCGGATTAAGGAATCATTTTTTATTTCACGTTCGAAGAGAAAGCGCAATTTGTCACTAATATGAAAAGGAAGGTCAGTCATTTTAATACAGCAGATCCATTCGATACATTTCTTTTGAGAATTGAACGAAACCTTTCACTCCCTTTAGACGCCCATTTTCTACGACACAACATCTTATTCATAACTGCTCATACGTGTGATGACTAACATTGAATTCCTATTCTAAGGAATTCATGGTCACCTTATAGTCCGCGTTTATGTACTACTTGTTCCGTAAAATGAACTGTAATGATTAAGTTTGACTGACGGGATCTCACACCATCCAAGAGGCTTTTGTGACCTAGAGCATGCAATCCACATATGTACATTTCTACGTGAAAAGCAGTTTTCTCCATATGTGACAAGTATCCTTCTATAATCTGCTTGTTTCCTTCAACACATAAAATTATATGGCATATCGTTTTCGCTTACCAAAAACTTTTGTAGCTCAAACACCATTTTGAGGCAGCATCTACATCGAGTATACTTATTATGCAGGCGAACCAGTGTAGACTGGCTATTCTGCCAGTCTACAATTTAGTGTTCTTAGATTACAATTTGGTGTTCTTCACTAAATTTTTATTCTACAAGAAAAACAATTTAGTGTTCTTATCATGTTTTTCTTTGACTTCATAATAATAGAACAGGAATCGTAGTAGTAATCGAATTTTCTTCAAAGCAATGAAACAAATACATATTTTTCACAGAAGTAAACTGATACCATTTTTATACCATTTTTTTTAGAAATCAAATAAATTAAAAAAAATTCTTGTATAGTAATTTAGAAAATTCTTAGTTTAAATATTAAGACAAAAATATTATTAATAGCAATAATAAATGTAAACAAATGAAGTGTTGTAAGTGATCTGAATAAATTTTCATATGCTTCAAAATATGCTTTGATATTTTTATAGTTATTTAAACACTGCTTTTTAAACATAGGACATATATATGTATTAATTTAGGTGTTGATGCATAAGGAAAGTAGCATTCAACGAGGCCGGCTGAACATTAACTTATTGCAGCCACAAATAACTTGGGACAGAAAGCCTCCTTTCTATGATGTTGCGGTAACGAAATTTCGAGATAGGAATTTAGCTAGATAGAGAAGCAGAAAGCGAATGAAAAGAAGAAAATTCTTTATTCAGAATGATCTGTAAAGCAAAATCTTCATTCGGAATGATTTAGTTTTGGTTAGGTTTACTTTGATGGATTTATTCTGATTATTTTGATTGATATTAAAGTTCACTTGCAAATTTGAAATTATTATTGGTCGAACCGTTATGTAAGTATCTGCCTCATGAACGTGATTAATTTTGAAATGACGCGGTTTAGAGCAATTATTAGTTTAGGAAAAAAGGGGAAAATAGTTAAAAGAGAGAGAAAAAAATTAGAGCAATAAAAAATGAAGAGTGGAAAGTATTTTCTATTGAAATTGAATAGAAGCATTGTTTTTAGTGCCTTATTGAAATTTAAGTTGTCAGTCCAATTGAAGTTTCTTGTTTTTGCAGAGTCCAAAAATATCGATTATGATTCTTAGTGTCTCATGAAAAAACAGAAAAAGAAAAAAAAAACTGTTACATTAATATTATTTTTCATGATATATTATAAAACATCAAGAAGTTATAACACTAATTTTCATATTTTTAACATCCTAAATATTTAATATTCTATTAAAATTATGATTATATTTCAGTTATAACTCCTAATTTTATATAAACGGACAAATTGGTCCTATCCTATTTACTGTACATGTCTCACTGCACCAGTGATTCGGGGGGGGGGGAAGAGCAGCCACTTGAAAGCCTTTCGTTCTTTACAAAAAGGAATTGGCTTTTGAGACCGGCATTTACACATTCCGTAATAATAATAATGATAATAATTCTATAACAAATATTATATTCATTCTTATAAGTGGTAGCCTTCAGTTTTTATTTGCATAAGTGGGTGGAAAGAAATATAGAATCAGAAATGAAAAATAATTCTGTTGAATTTTGAACCACTACTTCCTACAACATAATTTATTCTTTACATTCATTTATTAATTACGTAATTATAACTTTCATTCAACTTCATTTCAAAATTCTTAATTACATTATTCATAATCACTAAGATAAAAGTTATTCAAATTCATAAATCAGTATTTTTAATAATATCTATTATAATTGCATTTATTATCACAACATTTAATAATTTCTTTATTAGACTCAAAAACAAAATTTTTGCATTTTTTTCTATACCAATAAAACAAAATTATTTCATTCATATTTCATATTCATTCTCAAAATAATTCAACAATATACTATTTTGAAACACTGAAAAAGAATGTGGTTTAACTCACTCTGCTGGTCATTAAAATTGTTACACAGGGAAGGAAAGCAAATAGCAGAATCGTATGTATTGTATATATACAGTATAATGGAGGAAGATATGATTAAATCTGCAGATGGTTTGGAGTAGAAAGTGCAATATTGAAGTAACAACTTGGAAATGAGCTTGGTGAGCTTGGATGACAGATACGGGTACTCCATTCCATGCCAGATTTCCCCCCTCTGTGCCAGAGTTCATTATACTGTGCTATTCACATAGTTCGTCCATCGTAGTAGCTGGAATCCATAATCAGATGTTTTCACTCAGTGAGAGATCTGGAGAAAGTGCTGTCGGAGGTAACAACCAAAACTAGAACTACACTACACCGCCATTGTGCAAAATAACTTGTTTATTAGGGAGTTGCGGTGCAGTCTAGAAGAAACTACACTACCGTCGCGAGTGCTACACTACCGCGGGCCGGGGACTTGGAAAATGTCGTTACATAGTATATAGCTACGGCTATGACTCAGTGACACCGTACAATAGAAAAACCAGGACACGCCAAACAGGGAGCCGATAGGGTGGACAATCAGGCCAACGCATACCAAATGGTGGCTCATGTGGGATTTTCGTAAACCCAAAAAGAAAAGAGTGCCCAGGCACAAGATGGAAACCAGTGCACTGCGGGAAGGCCATGGTATGAATGCACACTAATCATGAAGACTAGCCGCAACAACAATGGGAAGGGTGTAAAAGACCCTTTTATTGAACGCAATATAATCTATAGACGGCACGGGCTTACATACTTACAGACACCAACGATTTGCGCCGAAAACTTAAAAGATACGTAACACTTACTAAATTTAAAGGTAGGAGTAGTACGAGATTATACAGTTCAATTTAATCTAACGAAATAGCGATGTTCGCAATAGCGATATCACTCTCTGACTGAGCATTTAGTTATTTAAATACTCTTTCGTTCACCCTGACTAATGTACATCCTGGCGAGGAAACTGGAAAGAAATCAGAAGGGACAGGAAAGGCTAACAAATTAAATTAACTATTAGAGAAATTAATATGCCACAACTATTAAACGCAAAGAATTACGAAATATTCCTGATGTACAGAGGTGCCTTCATTTTTTATGCTATACCAGCAATAGTCATTTCATATGGCGATCTGCATATCGACTCGGAGTACATGAAGTGAAAAAGGAGTTAAAACAATATTGTGTTTATACTACCGAAATGAACCAAAGTATCAAACTGACTGCGTTATTTTGTGTACTGATGCAAGTCCAATAGGATTTTTGAACATCTGATATTCCCACATAATTATGTAGTAGGGTATCAATGTATGATAGTCAGCTTGACAGCAAGCTAACACTATAATTATCTGCGATTCTTAAAATAGAAATAATCAAACTGCGAAGATATTTAATTAATAATTATAAATAATATAGTGAAAAGTTAACGATATATAACTGTAAACTCATTTCAAAGGCGATCTGCAATAAATGCATTAATAGAAAAAAAAAAAAAAAAAGATACGGATTATATGCTGTGTAGATTTAGTTGCATTTTATGTTTTCTTTGCTAACATAAAATGCAACTAAATCTAAACAGGTGTTAATCCCTGCGAATTCTCGCACAGGTTTGAAGATGAACTTAAAACTAAAAAAGTAATACAGTATTCAAAATTCGATAAACCTCGTAAAATTTTATATTCATCATTTTTTACTGAATATGTGTAGGGATACATCAAATCATTTTTACTAATAGCTTTCTTTTTGTATATAATCAGCCTTATTTATTTCAAACCATTTAATATTTTGGGTCGTAAGAACACCCTTGTGAGTTAAGTTTATTAAATTAAGTTTCACGCTACCTTTCTGAAAAATTAAAAAAAATTATAAAATAAAATTTCCATAAAAGATTAAATATTTTTTATTTGCATCATAATTAAAGAAATACGGAACTTTTCACGACTTCACGCGAAGTCCGAAATCTCCCTGAAACCCAGGCTGAGATACGCTGTACTGAAAGTGGTCAATAAAATAAAATATACGCATTCGAAATGAAACCAAATCACATATAAAAATTCCTTTATTCGCTCAGCGACTATCGTTATGATTGAAACAGGTGGTAAGTCAAAAAATACACAATTTTAAATGTAAAAAAAAAAATACATTCTGCATACAGTTTTGTAAAAGTACAAGAACATAATGAACAATACGACGAATATAAATTTTCAAGGTAACTCAAACGAAATATGCCTTTTATTATTTGGCAGAAATTATAAGAAATGTCTATCTATACGCAAGAAAAAATATTAGAAATATAAAACTGTTGATGCGATTACTCTGTTGCAATCAGAAACACGATTTTTAATCCCACTGATTCAAATTCTTAAAGCACTAAAAATCTGAATGAAATAAGATTTTGGAAAAATCATTTTCACAACAGTTTTGAATATTTTGTTTTAAAATCCAAATGTTAGGACAGTTTTCTTGGTAGCTTCTGGAATTCGAATTTGTACGGTTTTAATCCATTTGTTCTCGCGCGATCTGACAGAACAAAATTAAGTTTTGATTTTAGGCAGTTCACACATCATTAAATTTTAGTTTCTTGAAAATTATGATATAGCATTTTATCAAACAATATTCTTCCTTTTATCATCAGTATTCATGCAACTTCTCTTTAGTTATATTTTTGCTTTAGTTTCGAAACAGTAAAGATTCACAAATTATAAAACTAAATACTTTCTTTCATAAATATGTGAGCCATTATTTTAACACAATCAAAACATTTCGCACAATTCAAGTATTAATCTTGCTTTGTTTACTGGCCTGTTTTCTTTTGCGTCTACAGAAGGTATTTCAGGAACACGGACCTCGAGTTTAGCTTTTGAACCACTCTTGTGGCAGATTTATATTACCAACGATAAAAGTACAGAAATTGACATAGAACATTTAGCTACGGCAGACTAATGACTGTGATAGAATTGGGAAATAGAAATTAGTGTGCATTTTGTGTTTCTGCATACTTTTGTAAAATTTTCAGACAATTTCCAATTTTTCAGTGTTGATTTTAGAAGCACGTTCCTGTACAAATTTTCCGCTAGCCTTTTCTGTTTTTAACTGATATTAATAGTTTAGTTGGATCCTTAGGAACACTGCATACTTTGAGTTAAGTCATAAATAATAGATATAATGTCATAATTCGACTCAATTAGATAAAGAATTCGGAACGCATAAAATTAGTAAGTGATAAATATATAGTAAGTTTTAAATAGTTATTAATATTTCATTTATAATTAATAAAGTATAATATGGAATGACTTGCAAAAGGTTTCATTATTTGCATAATGTGTACAGAGAACTCACTCATTTTTTAAAACGGCCGAATTACTGCAATGGTTATCCAATATCTTCCGGTCTTTAAATTTAATTCACAATTTGAATTTAATTTTATGATTGCAAAAATATTGCAGCAAACTCTACTGTGACAGAAGCAAATGCAGAGATAGTACAAAAAGTATTTTGAAATTAAAATTAAACGATTATTCTATACCGAAATAAATACATAGCCTCGTCTTTTATAAAGTGCAGAAACTCTGGAAATGTTTGTAAAAATTAGCCGGATATATAGTAAATTTCATCATGTGTTATAAATCATAACGGTTAAATATGTTTTAAAAAGTAAAATAAACAAATACATTATTCAGAAGCACTTTTTAATTACTGAGTTTGTTAAGTAAATACGTAATTTCAGAGATAATTAAAAATCTCATACACGTCGAATAGAAACATTCTGATAACTAGTTATTTCCCTGCCAAAATAAAAATGAAAGTTCTTTTTTCTCTTATAATGGCATAACTAAGTAGATGATAAATGAGATTAATTAACGTACGACATCCAAAATCAGAAATATTCCCTACAGGCTTCCAAACGCCAAAGTTAATTTTAGATTTTTAACTTATATTTCTTGCAGTTGCGAAAGTGATAAGATTTATCCCTATCCAAAATTTAGAGATGGTTCTACTGGAAAATATTGGTTTTATATCTGTCTGTATGGTTCAAAAAATGAAGCTACAGCCAGTGGTTTTGAAATACCCTGTATCCATTTTCCATCTCAAAGCTCCTGTAATCACAGGAAGCTTCTGCTTAATACTCGTAATAACTTAAATAACATATTCATATGCTTAAATGACAAGATTTCACAGTTTAGATGAGTTCGCCGCCGTGGCGGGGACGTCACCGTTCTCCTCGGGGGGCGTTTTCTTTTCATTTTCTTTGCTCCCCGCAGGATCCCAGGATTGGATGTCAGACGACCCAGCAACCAAAAAAATGATACCACTGCCAGCTCCTACAGCTGCCGTAATCAAGAATATTTTTTGCCACTGTGCGAGCGTTTGCTGTCAAACAAGAAAAATATTTGTGAAATATTATTGAAGAAAATAGATCAAATATTTTGCTATGAAAACAACCTCATAATAAAAATTAAATTAAATCAAATAGTAATACCACTTAAATTATTTTATGATTTACTACTGCTTTTAAAAGATGCATGAAACTTTGAAAATCTTCATCTTTCTTTTATCATAAGAAAATTAAAAGAAAATTTTTAGAAAACATCTAGGATAAGAATGACTTCAGTTAAATCTTGAAATCATCGTCAGATTGAAGGCCGAGAAAATTACGAACTTGAAGAGTTCGCAGCTATTTTTATGACATTGACATTGGCCCATGTTTCATTTACTCATTGGCTGTTTTTGTCGTTAAGAACAGGAACAGTAATTATAATTGGATGTGGTACATTAAATTTTGTCAAATTTTTTGTTTCTTACATTTTAGAAATATATATGGATGTCTTAATGGAAAATCCACTGAAATCAAATGCCTTAAAGGAACAAAATATAAAGTCTTAACAGAAATTTTTAATACTGGATCATACAGATAAAAAAAAATGCAAATAATTTATCACTGCAACAACCGCTCCAGATCTTGAGAAAAAAAGCCCCCCCCCCTGAAAAACAAACGAACGGAGAAGTGGACAAGAACCAAACGTAGAAAATAAAGATGGGCTCTTAAAGTTCAAGATTTCTAACTTTACCTGGATGATAACCATAAAGATAGTTGTAAAGAACAAGTGAAGTAATTAATATTCTGATTGGTTTCAGCAAAACTTTCTCCTTTTCATTAATTACAGCGCCTATAATAATATTATACGCTTCTATTGTTTTTTCATTTAAGGCGTGAAAATAATTAGAACACAGTCTCTACTGGTAAAAAGGAAAATAAAAAGGAATGTTGCCCCACATCTTTCTCACATTGTTAAATCTATCAATTTTGTAGAAATGACCTCAAAATGCAAAGAAATTGTTTTAAGCTGTTTATCACAGGTTTAAGCTGGCGATGTTAATGCAAGTTAAACCTTTGATTAATCTGCATTAATATTACCCATATGTAGCCAAATTGACAATCAGTCAAAGGTAAATTATAAAAAAACTGATGTGTACACCACATGACTTCCTTGTACGGAATATTAAATTATACGCATTTTTTCTTGCATTTTATTTAAACTTATTAGATTGAATTAAACCTACTTCGCCGACAGCGCGTAAACCACAATAGAAAAAATGCATTCTTTAAAATTCACTTTGTTTACCATAGCGAAACTCTGGAGCTAGGTTTACTTAACAGTATTATATTTCATTCATATTATAACTCAGAATGCACAAAATGTATATCATTTAAAGAATTATCTAATCGTTGACACATGTTCTATTCAAATACAATAATAAAGCTAGAATTATGTATAAAAGAAATTAAGAAAACAAAACAAAAAAGAAACAGTTTTTCACAGAGGATTGAGTATTTCTCATTGTATTAATTCAGTTCTCACTTCGCGAGAAAGCATAAATACATAAAAACTCAAAATATCTATATTAAAAATTAGGAAGTAAATCTCAAACGCTTATTTCCTCGAAAAAATTCCAGAAAGAATTAAGCATGATTTAATTGGCAATAATAAATGAATGCGTTATCTTTGTTGTTGCGAAGCTAAGTTTCTCTAGATTGGCAACAAACCCAATAGTCTCCTGTTTCAAATGTAAAATGGCCGGCATTAAAAACAGGCTTAGCGGCAATTAAACAACTTTAAAATTGCTGATAATTCTAAAACTATAGCACGCAGATTTACTAAAGGCATAAAATCCTTAACCGGAAGATAAAAACAACATAATTCAATCATTTTTAGAGCAAAAAACGTACAATTTACAAACATATAAGAGTAAAAAACTGAGCCGGGTAATAGAGTAGTATATATATAAATATATTTATATACGTTTGGGGCGGCCGATTGCAACCAAAATACGAGGTGCTCATCCTACAATGTTATAGCAGTCCTATGTACAAAATTTCAACGTTCTGAGGCTACTCGTTTTTTGAGTTTATGCGAGATACGTACGTACGCATGTACGTACATACGTTCGTACAGACGCCACAAAAAATTCTCTTCAGAATTAATTTTAAAGCAGTTTTATAATTTTTTTGAAGGAAAAGAGTATTTTATTCTGTCCTTACGTACAGATATCACGCAAAAATATCGTTAAATTGCTTTCGATAGCGGTCGAAATGGAATATTTTCGTTGAAATATGCTTACGATACTTCAAGGCTTAGTAGCACTGAGACAACTTTAAAATTCTTGATAATTCTAAACATATTGCATACAGATTTACTAAAGGCATAAAAACCTTAACCGGAAGATAAAAACAACACAATACAATCATTTTTAAAGCAAAAAATGTACAATTTACAAACATATAAGAGTAAAAAACAGATCACTGAGCCGGGTAACAGAGCGGATATATATATAAATATATTTATATACGTTTGGTGCGGCTGATTGCAACCAAAATACGAGGTGCACATTTACATGTTATAGCAGTCCTATATACAAAATTTCAACGTTCCTGAGGCTACTCGTTTTTGAGTTATGCGAGATACGTACGTACATACGTTCGTACAGACGCCACGAAAAAAATTCTCTTCAGAATTAATTTTTTTTAAAAGCAGTTTTATAATTTTTTTGAAAAAAAATGGTATTTATTTTGTCCTTGCGTACAGATATCACGCAAAAACATCGTTAAATTGCATTCGATAGCGGTCAAAATGGATATTTTCGTTGAAATATGCTGCCTGAAACGTTTCGCAATTACAATACTTCCTTTTAACTTCGTTACAAAGAAGTAAAAAGAGACTAGAAAGTAAGCATTTTTTCTTTCAAGGAAGTCGCAATAAAGTTTCAGAATTGTTATTCAATAGAAGAATAATCTCTTTCACAAAAAATAATTTTAAAAGAAGAGATTTTATTTACTAGACAACTTTAACTATAAAGCGCATTTGAGACATAAGTACATAATTCTGATTGCTAAATGAGCAACTGAAAACATTTGATCGAAATAACTAATTACTTCAAATGAATTTCAAGCTTACTATTAGTCATTGGAAAAGCCTTTTCATTTATGAAGTTTTTATTAATATTCAAACAAGAAAAGAGTTCCCTTATGTAAAATTTAAAATATATAAGTTCTATACAACACATTACAAACAATATTATAGGAAACAAATAAAGTAATTTTACACATTGAGTGGTCGAAAGATGAAACACCCCGTTATAATGCGTTTAACTTTAATTATAGTTGATATTTTTCTGATCATGGGCTCAATAGTGCGCTGGTATCATTCTTGAGGGCAATTAAATCAAATTGGACAATAACAGCTCTAATTTTTATTCAAACTGGATGGTGTTTTTCCCAGGCATTGAAATGATTGTCTACAGGTGTTGGATATGATTGAGGTCAGAGGACTGAGCAGACCGTGTAAATGATTTGAACTGTGAGCCCATGTTCTTCAAACCAATTTGAGGTTAGTCATGCATGCATTGACTTTAATTTTTCCATTTAGGTATCATCCTGCTGAAAATGACCATCTGCTCAGACAACATTAAGCAATAAATGAGTGTACGTGATATATATATATATATAAAGGTATTGAAGTACATCGCGGTGCTGACAACCGTTTTCGACATATCATAGGACAATTTGTTCTCTAGTAAATGTTTTTCAGAGCATAATTCCATGGTCTCCAGCTTAAGAGTTTTCTAAGAAAGAGGGTTCCAAGAATTCGCCCGATAATGATACTATTCAATTTCTCACCGAAAATATCCATCAAACACCACCAAAAAAAAAAAATATTATCTTCCACACACTAACAAAATTCCTCTCACAACCACGCTCTTACTACATCCTTTCTATCTACCCGTCGAAAGTACTTCTATGCATACACAAACTCTAATCCCGAAAGAGCCCTGACCTTGGTGAAATATCCAATAACATAATTGCTAACATGGGAACCATTATGATCTTCAAAGTTCGTCTGAATTGCCGCAACTCGGGTATTTTCCGTCCAGATTAAAAATCGCCCTCATCTCTCCAGTTTTTAAAGCAGGAAAATTTCCCCGGCAATCCAGTATTCTATCGCCCGATCAGTGTGCTTTCTTCTCTGAAGAAGGTAGCGGACATGCTATTCTTGAAAGGCTTTTATAATGCTGGAAGATAAAAACATCATAATTCATAATCAATATGGATTCCAGCGAAAGCATTCAGTGAACCTATGTAAATCAGAAATTATTAAGCTAAAGTAGCAAGAGAAGAATTGTAAAGTAGCAAAAAGAAGCACATGTCATGACACATTGTGTGAGTTTTGTGAAGCCGTAAGTTCATAAACTCACAAGATCTCTGACATCATTACAAAATTAGCATCCAAGGTTTCCTTAGGAGTGGATTGTAATTCGATTCGTGGCCATTGCGTTATATACATTAATATCGACGAAAATCTTAAAACCCGATAGCTAGTTTTTCATTGCCTAAATCCCATTTCTTCCTTTAATTATTTCTCAGTAAACTTAGGTTATCATTTTTCTGTTAATTTATTCATATTCGTTATTAGGTGCTTTCTCACGTTTGGATTGTTAACATTGTTGTACTAATTCTTTTTGAGTTAGCTGTTTATATTTTTAATTTACTATTTTTTGCTTTAATTGTTAATTTTTTTCAGCTGATATTCCGTTCTGATTGTTGAACCTCTGTTTCATTTCATTGCTTTATAAAGATACGTTCTTTTACTATTAAATTTGCTCGTGTTGTTATTAAGAAATCCCGTGTTGCATTGATTTTTAAATCATTTCAATTGTTTAGTTTATATCAGTATTATAATCAAGAGAATAAATTTCGCATAAATGGTGCACGGGCCACATACGGACACGTCGTAATTTTAGAGTTGAGGTAAGAACTGGTTTAAAAAATAAATAAGAACTTAAGAGCAATAAAATAGCCAATATTGCTATTAACATGCATAACTTCGTTTCACTCTCATTTTGTAGTATTTTGTCTTTTATTACTATAATTTTTACGGAGTTGGCCGATCTATCAATACTACAATATAATCTGTTGCCCGAGAATTCAGAGAAAAATTTATGAATCTCCCTTTCCACAACTGTGAGAGAACTCGAGCACAAAATTTACATCGTTTCGGTCTTTTTTTTTAAATTACGTACATCATATTTTTACGATATATTATAATTATTTATAAGAAGTATAGGCAGTGGTCTCAGGATGACAGCACGCTCCTTAAACAATTTAAACTGCCCGCAAGCACATTTCAATTACGTATCTGTAACAAATACGGTGTTAAAATGATTTTCAAGATTTTAATTTTTTAAAGTGTGAGTTTATATTACTTTCATTATCATTAAAAGGTACTGTGAATAACAATATAATTTTATAGAATCAGAAATCTATAAATTGCACTAATTAATTTACAGACTTATGTAAATATTATTAAACGATTTGAAGATACAGATCTGATTAACTTTTACTTGTACTTGCCAGAAAATAGGCACGATTGAAAATTGATAAGGAAAAAAACCCAATGAGCGTCTATAATTCGTGATGAAAATAATTTCTAGCAATTTTTCTGCAGTGCATGGACATTTCACAAATTTTGTATTCATACATAAAATTTATAATTATTTACATACGAATATATGTATTTTAAGTTTCGTGTTGAAGAAAAACTCAATAAGAGAAAAAGACTGGATTGCCGTTATTTATTCTCAAGTTTTGTGTCACCAGGAAATTTTTTTTGGAAAAATTAGAAATTAAAAAAAAAAAAAATTTACACTTTTAACTGAAATTAAAGTACGTTATTTAAGGAATAATTGGACATACAAGAATTTTTTAAGTACCTTTCAGTCTGAAATATTAATATTTTGATATTTGATTTACAAAGTGTGACCAACAAATATATCCTTTAGATTTCAGGCAGAAAATAAATATAAATCTGAAATTTTTTCCTTTGCGTTATTTTTATTACTTTTTATGTACATTTGATAAATATTTAGTAAGTGACATTTTAAAATTTAGTTAAAATATTTCTTTATTAAATTTTTTTTATTATGGTTAAAAAATTCCGGTTCGTCAGCTGTTTCAGATTGTGCATTCAGCCTGCACGCAATTTTAGTTTGATACCACAGAATTATGGCCCCTGAATTGAAATTAATATCATGGAAACAGAAAAATTATTGATGCATTATACTAAATAAATAAGTGATCCTTAGAATTTTATATTGAAACTTTGTACGTAGTTTCAATAAGGTGTTAAGTATAAAGAATGATATATTCGAATTTTTTAGATAAACGTGATAGTAATTTCCTTTATGAATAGACATTCCCGTCTTGGGTTCTAAAATTTTAGTTAAATCAATATTCTAAAATTGGTTTATATCGATATTCTACAAAATTTCAGTTTGAAAAAAAAATTATAGAATAAATACAGTGAACATACTCTATGACAACCATTCGTTTTGAAAAATAAAAATTTTTTATGTATTAAAGAAGCACTTGCTGCGGATTAAATCAGTTTAATGTATTCTCATTTCTCATTTATGTTACTTGCAATAAGATTTTGTGTTTTATGTTTTCATCCTGTCTAACCACTTCTCAAAACATGGGTATTTTAAGCCAAGCTTTTTAAAAGCTGGTGCTCAATTTTTTCATGATTCTTTTAATTCGCGTTTTAGTTAAATGAAATTTTGTAATTGTACTTATAGATGACCAAAATATTAAACAAAATAATCAATGACACAATGAAAATACTAGCTACTAGTCCTGGTATTGAGCGCACATGCACTCACATGTTACGAACACAGGACTTCAGTACCCAGATTTTATTTAGGCCTAAATAAATTACTACTTTTAATTATAAATTAATTTCAGTAGCTACGTTATATTAGTATGACCGAATATTATGCTAATGTTAAGAAAACGTTTAAGTAGGAAATATAGCGTAAAGAAATAATAGAGTGAAAAAAAAAAACACTCAAAATTGCTTAAACATAAATTTTAATAGCACAACTTTGTAAAAAGCAGCAAATTTACAAAGTGTCCCACGATCTGGCAACACTTTTCTCTCATATTTCTGATTGACTGAGTTTGGGTGCAGAGCCTCAAATATAAACTTAAAAATCCTGGGATTCTGAGATTACTTTCTCCACATAATTTACTCCTATTTGTAAGATTTTTTAGTTCGTATCAACAACAAACACTCAACCCGTCGTATCACAAGTCTCATTACTCGGTTGTATGCTGTAAAATAATTCCACGAATGACATTCCATACAGACAAGACTAAACACTTGCCATGTACGCCGATGAGACTGAAATTTTGACGCAAACTGCATCTTTCGGCTCACTCATTACAAGTACATATCCATGCACATACTACACATGTGTGCAATTTCGGAAAATCCACATTAATGCAAAAAACTCTATTGTTGAATTATTTATAAAGAAAGTTAATCTATTCAACATTTCACTTCTCCATCTAGCTTCCAATCAAGTGCAGCAAACGTGATAGAAATCGCTCATGAATATCTATTCTGGGATAGCAAAACCGTGCGAAAACCCTGACTGCGAACTGTGTTCTCCTGAATCGTCCATGAATTCGTGCTGTTTGCGCAATAGTCTCATCCTGCCATCTGCTTGATGGAGATGTAAACGAGATTCGTCTCCAACTGTTAAAACGCTCCCGTTGAAATCCCATCCGCCATGTTATAATTCTTTGGTCGTGTTGCGCTTTCTCGTACTCTTTGTGACGCACCTGAATTGCAATGAACCGCGATGTATCATAATGTTGCTTTTCTGTTGCTGCGGATGCTTAGACGTTACAGCTGCCTTCCGCTTTCTCCTTTCACTGACATTTTCCGATCAGAATCATCCTAATAGCCTGAATTTATTTGTTCGCGTTCCACTCCTTAAACACTCAAATACTGCACGAAAACGCAAGAACATTAGCCGTTTCAGAGATGCTGGAACCGAGTCTTCTTGTGCTCATGATCATGCTTCATTCAAAGTCATGCAAATTTTCCGTCTATTGTTACATTAGCAGCAATAAAGAATATTCCATTTCCATATTTAGACTATTTTATGTAAACACTTTCAGGCTGTTACATTAATATAAAGCTTTGTCAGACGTATCGGTATTAAAATCGGGTGTTTTTCATATGTTGGCTGCTTAGTATATACTTCAGAAATGAAACCAGCTATTGGATTCCAAATCCAGTTTAATAAAAGGATAATGAACCTTATATTCATTAGCGAAGAAGCAAAGCAAATTTTACACTGTATATCTAGAAATCAAATAAAGGATATTTAATTAAGGAAAAATTGCAAATATTTTTAAGGTTGAGAAAAATCACAACCACCACTGTTTTGACACATAGAATGCCCTCCTCATTAACACTTTACCTTAACCCTAAAAATGAATATAACATAGCTCACCCAAATCTGTAACAAAAAGGATAAAAAGTGTGTAATTACCTCTTCGTTTGTCAGCCTTCCAACAGTGACAGGTACAAGAAAACCTGCAAAGCTGGCTAGTGTGCTTGCATACCCCATCAGAGCACCTAATTTTACGAAATCGATACATAATTATCAACAATAAGAATCAATAACTGCAGATAAACACAAATTTAAAAGTTTTTTTAATCAGTTTTTTTTTTGTCAGATGAAAAGGACGCTAAGACAAAGAATAATATTCTAAACATAAAAAAAAAAAAAATTAGAAACAAATATTATTTATATATTCGTGTAGCAAACTACAAGAACTACAAATATGCAATGCCGCGGTTAGAACTGAGAAAACTATATAATCTTGTCCTTACCGCAAAATGTGGGTGTCATGTCTACAGCAGTTATCAAACTGCCGGCGAATCCAAAACCTACGCTAGCTATTGCTACAAAAAAGGATACTTCATTCCAAGTAGTGCTGCATCCTGACAGGTAAACACCTACCATACCAAGAGTGAAGACTGAGCAGCCTAAAAAGACAAATATGAATAATTAAAAGCATTTTGTACAATAACTTAAAGTTATTAGAGCTGTTTTTCGAGTGAGGGTTATCGAATTCAAGAAATTTTGCGGATTATAAACATTTTTGTTGGTTTCTTGGTTGTTAAAGAAAGTTCTGAAATGAACCGGGAACAAATCAGCGTTTCGAAATACCAAATAAGCCATATTTTTAATTCTAAAAATTACTCTGCTCTATTTATTTGATAACTATTAATTATAGTTTTTAATATGGTGTATTGTTATACTGTAGCAAAGCCAAACTTACGTTGTTATTAATTCATTCAATCGTAAAATTTTCCTTAAATTGTAAATGTAAAATTATTAATGTAAAACAGAAAATTTTCATTTTGCAGTAAAGCATTCAATGAGGAATCAAATTTTTAAAGTTCTTGAAACTTCGTCCAATTTCATTTTCGATAATATAGCTTAATCCTCAGTAGTTCAATCATTTTCATTAACAGAACTTTGATTTCTTATTTCATTACCAGTTTTCTTACAAGGATAAAATATGATGCTTTGTGGCATCTATTGTTGTTTATTTGTCTTATGAAACAAAGTTGAGGAATTTTGGGAGAATGTTTTTAAAATGTACACTAGATCTATAGTTATTCTGACTTTGCATAAATGCATGGCTTTATTTAAATTTAATATAAACACGTTTATTTAAACCTTAATGATATTTTTCTCTCAGTTAACTTTTAAAATTATTTTTAGGACGAAGCGTCAGTTTTTGCCTTTAAATAAATGATTTATTTACTTAATCAGTACTCTGATACTATATTAATTTATTTAATCAGTATGAAGAAGAAAACCACTCTTTCTTACGTACATGATTTCTCACCTATATATTATAAAATATACTGAGAAAAAAGGTTAAAAATAAGAGAAAAATTTAATAACTGATATTTAATCTAATAATTTATAAATTTAAACATGCATTTGGATTGCAATAATTTACTGAAATGTATTACATACTGAGTGAGTTCCATCCTTTCCTGCAAGCATTTATTCTATCTGGATAGCGTCGTTTCAATAGGAACGAAAACCAACACGCACCGAAGCCTGCTATTGCTTGAGCTAAAAATGGCCCTGATGAAAGCAGACCATTCTGAAAAGAAAAAGCAATAACAGTTAATTAAATACTTTGATTGTTAAAACCTGAAATCTTATAGATCTACCTCTTATTATACACCATCATATCAAACTTAGGATTTTAAATAGAATATAATGCCTAAGCAGTTTATGGATCATAAAATGATCACATGATAGACTATGCTATTTAAAAGAGGCAAACAGAAATATCCATAGAACTGTTGCCTCTTATAGATGAAAGGAACGGGAAAGCAAACGCTTGCTGTTATAGCATGTTCAGCGGCTTGAGATACACTTCTTATCTGCAGGATATACCAAAATCGTTGCTCCTTGTTGTCGCCAGGTGCTAGTTTCTTCTCATTTTAGTGGCGACTGCCAAAGTATATAAAATTTATTTCTAATCTTGGCTAATGCAGACGATTAATAAATGGAAGGCAATTAGCTAGCCACAGACAGTAATTACATAATTGTCTAAGGAATATTCATGAATAGTCAGCGGTGTTCAGTGATGCTTTGATGCTTCATTGTTTATTCATGTTCAGCGGTAATTTATCCTGTTCTTAACACAACCTCACGGAATCCCATAAAGGGCCTCGCATCTGAAAGTCCATTACTTGCGAATTATATTTGAGGATGGGAACTAAAAGAAATAAGAAAAGAGGCACTCAGTGATATAATATACGTACATAAGAAAAGAGACAGCAAATTCAATGATGTAATATATGTAAGATATAGATATAATTAATATGTTCGTTATACATATTAATTATATCTATAAAACAAATACAGAACAGCATAATGTAGTCTACCTTAATTTACATATTATTGATTACAATTTTATTAAAGTTTACGACAAAAGAAGAGAATTTAATTTTTCCACACTAAAATTAACTAACTGGAATTCAAATCTTTCCAAAAGAATCATACTTAACACAATTTATTCACAGCTACTCAGAATAAAAAGGATTTGCAATACTGCGAAACACTTACAAGAAGAAATACTGTACTTCGTAACTATTTTGAAAAGTAACCTAATTCCTCATAAAATAATTAAAAATACCCTAAAAAAGCTGGCATTAGCCTTACCTATTTTTAGATTTTTTGAATTAGATAATGATATTTTATGCCTAAAGCCCGAAGGACGGTTTAAGATGGATGACTAATTCAGAGAATCTAATTGTAAAAATGTACAGATAATTCTTGTTTATTCATTCTCTTTCCTCCAAAATTTTGGCACTTTACTTTTAAATACTATTGTGTAAATAGTTTTAAATTTCTATAATGGCCAATTTTACTGCTTTTATTAACAAATCGGGCCTTTTCGTTTTTCATAGTAGCTTGATCGCCCGCTAGCTTGAAGAATTACGACTTTTTTAACAAATGACTGTTTTTTCCTTTTACTCTTGCTTTTGTGGCCAAGTTTTGTAGTTTTAGCTGAATTAGCCATTTTCACTTTCAGTCACAAATTTTTTTCTTCCAACTACATGTCAGACGCCATTTTTGAAATCTTTTCACGTTTTTCCGAGTTTTCCGACCCCCTTCGATAATAGGAGACGAGTTGCAGCTAACGGACAATCTATTCGTATTGGCTGATGCCCACAGAACATCGCTTCCCCCCTACATACGTCACACGACTGAAGTACACAGAAGGGAATTACAACTACTTTTCAACATAGTTTTAAGAGGGAGAGCTCTGCATCGCCACAGGTCAGTTTTTTTGTTCTTTTGTTACAACTTTTTCTTGGTCTTAGCAAGACCCACTTTGTTGTTTTCATCTTAATTTTCTTTTATTTTAATTACAGATTTTCATTACAGATTTCTAAAATATATAAAATTATAAATCTTTAAGCTTGCAGGCCCAGCCCGTATGTTTTTTGTATATTTAGGACTAATAGCAGACCGCTATTTATTTTCGTTTTTATTTTTATTTTTTTTTATTTTGATTTTTATTTTAGTCTAGATTTAAGATGTATCGGAATAGTTTTTTACATATTTTAACACCTTAATGTGTCATTTTGTGCGGACGCGTCGGGAAATTGGAACAGAGAATTGAGACTATTAAAATTTCCAAGACACTTTGTCTAAATTAAAAAATTTTGTAGCGAAAAAGTTTCAATTGTCTGTTTCGGTGAAACGCGTAATGGGGTTAGCTTGATTCGACGTTCAAACAAATAAAATTTCCCTTGAAAAGCCAGTTTGGAAGTCGAGTTAGGCTAATTTACCATTTTCCGCTTACTTTTTTTATCTGATTTTGTTTTTTAATGTTTTACATGTTAAATGGTTTGATTTTGATATGTATTAATTTTTTTTTAAAACGTGTTGAACTTTTTGGAGCTACAGCTCCTGGTAACTTTTAGGCGAGCTTACTACAATTTTTATATTTACTTATTTTGCAGCATATTGCGCAAGATGTTTTCTAGACCAAATTGGTCATTCAGTATTGTAATAACTACCTTACTTAATATATATATATATATTCCATCACTGAATTATTGCATTTGAATTTTAATAAACCTTCTTTACCATTCAGTAGTACATTTTTGTAAAACCTTGAACATTAAAAACCCGTATATTACTAACAGTTCTACTCACTATATATTTGAGAAATTTCCCTCGACATCCAAATATTACTTTTAACTTAAATCGTGCTTCGGTAATGAATTTGGAAAAACAATAAAACAGTGATATAGTTTAAGGTAATGAAATCGAACTCAACACACACACATACGTACATACATACATATACATATATATATATATTTACTAAATAATATTGATTAATTGATTGAGTGAATCCATACTAGTACGTTACATTTTGAAAGATGTTTTGAAGTAACTTGAAAGTAAAATGTTAATAATGTTTTAACGGGGACTGGAATTAAATCATCATGAAGAACAAAATTTCAATTGTAAAGGAATAAATTAAAGGCAAAAATAAATTAAATGCATGTAATCATTGTCAATGATCGGAAGTTAGTTGACTTTTCAAGGGGAACGAACAACTCCCGTTCAATGAACAATAATTAATAAATAAATACGGTGTTTCGTCTTTACTCGAGCAATAAGGCTAAGCCAAACCGGCAATTCAAGTCAGGCCAAATATTTCCGTGTATAGAATGGATTATGAACCAATGCTGATATTCAAAGAACTTATTCCTATGAAGCATTTTAGCCCATTCAATTTTGAGCAATTTCTGCAGTGAATTTCGAAAAAACTCGAGTAACCGTCCCCCGACACCCTCGTGTTTATGCATTTGAGTTCAATTGCTCGAGTAAAGACGAAACACCTTCGTATGTATTTATTAATTTTTGTTCATTGAACGGGAGTTGGTTTGTTCCCCTTGGAAAGTCAACTAATTTCCGAAGATTGACAATGATTACATGCATTTAATTTAATTCTTGCCTTTAATTTATACCTTTTACAATTGAAATTTTGTTCTTCATGATGAATTAATTCCAGTCCCCGTTAAAACATTACTAACATTTTACTTTCCAAGTTACTTCAAAACATCTTTCAAAATGTAACGTACTAGTATGGATTCACTCTTTTAAGATAATTCTTCTTTAATTAAACTTAGGAGATAATATAATCAATTAATCAATATTATTTAGTAAATAAATTATTATTAACTTACTTTGCAGCAATTGCGCAAGTAGTAGTAACTTGTTTTCGCACTAAATGAATTTAAGATCATACAACATATTATATATATATATATATATATATATATATATATTATATATATTATATATATATTATATATATATATATAATCTAATATTATATATATATATATATATATATATATAATAATATAATATATATATATATATATATATATATATATATAATTTGTTATAATAAACAGTGATGTAATATATATTCTTGACATATATTATTCTTGATATATTTTTAAATATATTTTTAATCTAAATTAAACATATTTTAAATTCATTTAAATTTTAGGGAAATATAATGTTTAAATAATACAAGTTTGGGGGGTGAGTATTTAAATTTTTTTGGCTTTACTTTAACTGATTATGGGTTACAGATATCTGCCATATAATTTCATAAACAACTGCATTCAAAAATTATTTTTTTAATAGAAGCACAAAAGTTAATTTTTTAATAGAAGCAGATCAGCTTGTTTCTCCATGTGAAGGCATTGTTTAAAATTTATTCACTATATACTCATTACAAACACACACATATAAATAATAAATGCACACATAGATGTGCATATATATATATATATATCCTTATATATACGCATGTGACCGCAAAGGATATATATATATATATATATATCCTTTGCGGTCACATGCGTACTTACCATTACGTGCGTGTCTACCGTAATGGAAATTCAACTTTTAAAGGAAGAAACATAAATATGCGCAGAAAATATCGATACGACTTATCAATTTTACGTGGAAATTATGTCCAGTATGATAAAGCTAAACAATTTGTTCTTGAATTTACTTGTACTACCTTAGTACAATATGGTTCTGAATTTAAATGTTGTTTGTCATTACAGCAGTGTGATTGATTGCCACACAACCTTATGCTCGGCTGACGAAAAACTTTGAAAAATTAAGTAACGGTGACTTCACTAAGTAAATTAGTTTACACTGTTTAGGTAAAAGGCAGCAAAGCTCAATTTCCTTACCTGCATCGAGAATCTCGTAGGCTAGAACATTTTCAATGTCCGCAGGGTTATTGTAAAATTCGTTTCCAAAGAACTTGCTTATCCGATAATTTGCGATTGCTTCAAGTCAGCATGAATTCTTTTGTTTCTTGTATAGTTAGAAACTTCAGTAATAATTCTGAGGATCTTGTTCTCTAGCTTCTGAGCAATCTGAATTTGATTACATAAATTTTCCCACGTGGACGATGCGTACGTAAATATGCGCTTGATGACAGAAACGTAATTTATTTCTCCTATTTAATGAGAGCAGTTGATTTTTGAGTATAGGATAAGATCGAAATATGACACCAAGTGCATTACAACGTACAAA